GCGATATAAACTGATCGATTAAAAATATATGTATGTGTGAGTAAATGTGTATGTGTGCGCGCGCGCGCGCGCGCACACATACACACACACATCCATCTTAATTTGTAGACATATATCCTAATAATTTGCATGAATGTTGATATTATGTTGATATAGAGTATTAATATCAATATCGTTCGATAAAAAGTCATCATTAAATTACAGCTTAATAAAGTTCTTAGTATTAACGTACAAATTTATTGAAATTGCAACATTGCAGTACTGCGAGATCAGGAAGGGCCGATTGCCGGATGCGGTATCATTCCGGTTGTAGTCGCGGATGCTGGAGGTAGTGGTGCCCTGCATATCGCCACATCTGGAGTTCACGAGGCAACCGCCTGGCGACATGCACTTTATCAGGCAGCTACCAACTGTGGTCCTGCCTTGGATCAACAACAAATCACGCAAGACAATGTGCCCGTCATTTTGGATAAATGCGTCAACTTTATCTACGCGCATGGTGATTAATGAATCATCATCTTGTATTATTAGAACTTTATTAACTTCATAGAATTATGTTCGAAAGCTGACCCATACTTGAGCATTAATTTTTCTATTTTCAAAATCCATTTTTGCCTGGAAGAATGAAAAGAGAAACTTATTTATATTTGTAGAATTATATATAATTAAAAAATGAGATTAACAAAATATTCTGTATATTAATTAAATTTTTCTATTATATTGTAATTCAATATATAATCTGTTCCACATAATTTTATCTTTCAGGTATGATGACGGAAGGTATTTATCGTCGTAGCGGATCAAGCAGTGCCGTAGTGAAGCTACTGGAAGCTTTCAGACGAGATGCATGGAGTACACAGATCACGCGAAATTCGTATACGGAACATGATGTCGCCACAGTTCTTAGAAGATTTCTTCGAGATTTACCAGATCCATTATTTCCTCCTAATATTCATGATCGACTCTGTCTCGCTTCAGGTAACGAATGACTTGTTCAAAGTAAACTTTCGAAATATTGGTTAATAGTAGCTTATTTTAAAAGATTAATATTAACGTTACAAGAAATAATGTTGAAATGAAATAAAAATCTATTTCTGACTCTATAGAATCGATCAGCGAGGAAAATAGAGTAGCGACTTATCGGAAATTATTGTCCACTCTGAATCCGATAACGGCGGCGACGCTTCGTCGGATCTTGGCGCATCTTCACGGCCTTAGTCAACAGAGCGCCAGGAATCTGATGACTGTTGAAAATCTGTCGGCAGTTTGGGGTCCAACTCTGATGCATGCCGGCGAGAATAGCGCCGAGGAGTGGAACCGAGCAGAGACCAAAGTCATCGGTGATCTCATTAGATTATATCCAAAACTGTATCAATTGTCGCCAGCTGATCTGGCCAAGGAAGCGAAAATGCTGGAGATTTTGGAAAAGCATCACGTATCCAACAATGGATTGCGAGGTGCGCCCTCGGGAGATCTCAAGATCTGGATATACATTCTATCACCGAATGGAGAATGTATGAATGTCACCGTAAGGTTCTTCTTAAACTTCTTTCTGATATTAGTGAATGATTGCGTGTTGTATATTCTCTTATTATTGTATGCAATGAAGCAACAATGAAGCAAAGAAAAAGAAAAGAGTATTGATAATATTATTTTGAATTCCTGCCGATGCTTAAAACTTAGTCACAAGTTATAATCTTTCGTTTACTTATTTTTAATTAAATAATCGATTAACTAGATTGGACCTCAAAAGACTGCATTTGATGTGTGTCGTGAACTCGCTGAGAAAACTAACTTACCTCCTCACGAGTTATGCCTAGAAGAATACACGTTGTCTGGTGCATTGGAGCGACCACTACATCACAATGAACGTGTATTGGAAACAGCGGCGAGATGGGGTTATTGGGATACGGATGATAGGAAAGATAACGTCCTTGTCCTCAAGAAAGATCGGCTTTATAAGGACATTGTGCCTCTGGTGCGTATACTATTGAGAAAACAGATAACAATGGCATAAAATTCTTAATGTATCGTGTTGAAATTTATTATTTGCATATATATAGCGCAACTGCATACGCAAACCTTATCCCACGATCTAAATTTATAGTAGCAGAGCGAGTTCAAGGCCGTACAATGAGCTTTTATTAATAGATTCAAGTTGCATGATTCCAAAGGGAAAAAAGAATTCTGCACACGCTACGAAGACAGAATATGATCCAATTGAAATTAATTATGTTTCTTCTCTCTCTTTCTTTCATTTTCTGTTCTCTGTGTAGGTAAAGCCGCCTATGACGATATCCGGAGAACTTAAATTCGCAGATACTAAGACGAAAAATCTGAAAACCTACCTCTTCGAGTTCAGCCAGGCAAAACTCTGCTGTTACAAAGACAAAGTATGTTCCGTAAAACTTCACGAATGGAAAATAGAAGACATCATTTGGTACTTGGGACATGAGCCTAAACGTAATCCACAAATGGGGTAAATATAGTATGAAATTACACGTTACGATTTTAATAAGTTGTTTTAAAAAATACTTACTAGGATATTGCTTTTTTCATAGATGGTCCATCACATTTATCACGAAAAACAAAAAACCAACGAGGTAAAAATATCGCTTATTTCTATTAGATATATAAATAGTAGATATATAAATTTATTATACATTTGTACTTAATAAAAAAATTATCTGTAACTTAATGAAAGGGATATATTTTAAATGCTTAATTATATTTTTGATAGAATGACTTTGATGTTTATCTTTAATTATCTTTCAGATGTAAAGATAGCCCGTATTTTGGGAATACTTTAGCGGGGACGTCCAAAGACGAACAGTATAGATGGTTAGCGGCTATGCTTTTTGGTGAATATCAATTAAATCTTCGACCATCAGCAGTGAATCTTATGGATCCATGATCGATAAAATTATAAGTCATTTAATGCCTCCAAAGTGATCGATAAGTGGTACTTTTCTTTATAAATCGTGTTACAGACTCTGAATAAATATAAAAACGTGTACAGTATCCCAATCGATTAGAGGAACTGATTAGTTTAATATTTTATAGCTTTTTAAAGCGTAGTATCCTGTAAGTCTGATCTCGTTTAACAAACGTTTATTCAATTCTTCTTACGAATTAATTAATCGGCCAATAGAAATGGTTAATTTTATTAGTTTTATACATTAATAATGCTGTGAAAGATTATAACTAATTGAATGAAATATTATCGTATAACATGCAATAATATGTCATTTATAAATAAAATAAAGCTAAGAGACATAAAATGAGAAAAACAAAAATTTTTTAAAATCTTTTTAACATAACATGTATGTGCACACATACTCGTGTTCAATAATATAATTTAAAAATTTTTTGTAATGTAGTACTATCTATGTTTACTTTTATAAGTTTAAATATTTTCGATTGTTTCGTATGAATTTTATAAAAGAGATATACCGTCTCGTTTATGAAAAATTATTTTTATTATGTATTATATTTATTAAAGTTTTCAAATACAAATGTAAAATCTTTTAAGAAAAATATATCAAGAGAACATTAGGAAAAGACTATTGTACATATAAACTTTTTTTCTCAATTAATTAAAATTAGAATTATTTGCATAGAATTTAGTATTATTCTTTTTTATTTCTCTTTAATTACTTTTTTGTTTTAATTGGTATGTAAATTAACATTATTCTAACATGAGACTATTGTTTCCTTAATTATCTTTATCTTAACAAATATATAGACTAATGGTATTTATGATATATAAGGCATATTTGTCAGTAACATTTAAAAGAAAAAACAGAAAGAAAATCATGTTTTATAATAATAATTTACATCATATTCTTTTCTGTACTGACTATTCAACTATTATAAAAAATTTATTCTTTCGCATCACCTATGCCGTCTGGATTTATGGCAAATGTTGCTTCACTTTCTGGTAAACACGGTGAATCATATATTTTACATATCCTAGTTTCTCCTCTACCTTTACGCAAATATAATCTTGTTGTGCTTGCATGTGCTAAGATGTGACCACCAATCGGTTTCTTCTGATCGCCACCAAACATGCTGGCAGCACCGTCAACTTGTGCAACCACCTGATTTGTTATAACAACGGCAATTCCGTGTTCGTCTGCTAGTCGTAACAATATTCTGAGAAATCTTCCTAGATGATTCTGTCTGGCTCCTAATTCACCCCTACCACTATAATCAGTTCTGTAAAGACCAGTCGCGCTATCAACTATCAGCAGGGCATATCTCGACTCTGTCATCATAGCACTGGCTAGCATTAGCAACTGAGTCTGGTGATCACTGTTATATGCTCTTGCATAAGCAACATTGTCGAGGATGGACTGTCCACTGATCTTGTATCTCTCGGCCACTGCTATCAATCTTTCCGGTCTAAAGGTATTCTCTGTATCTATGTAAAGACATTTTCCCTCTGCGCCACCCATACTAATTGGTAATTGACAATTGACGGCAAGTGTGTGACAAAGCTGAGATTTTCCCGATCTAAATTCTCCAAAAACTTCTGTGATAGAGCCAGTTTCTATTCCTCCGCCTAGCAATCTGTCCAGTTCTTTAGAACCGGTAGAGATGTAGACGATGTTCGCTCGTGTCTGATGTATCTCTGTGGCACTTTTAAAACCCATCATGACCATTCTGGAAGCCTCCTGCAGCAGCTTATCCGCCTTAGCCTCGCTGATACCTTTAATCGCTACGAGGTCTTTTTTGGTTGCATAAGCCACTGCTTCGACGGTGTAATAACCGGCTTCTTGCAGTTTTTTGATATCCCCCGCCGTGATCCCATTTTTCTGCGTGAGAACAGGTAATGTTGACAGATACGAACGTGACAAACGTGTTCAAACGTGCACGAACCTGAGAGTATTAAATCATGCCAAATTAAATCATGTGTTATGACTTACCTCCAATACTTTGATCAGTTTTGCCGGAGTACAATCGTCCAAATCTTCATCGCCGTTGAGACTCACAGTCGATGCGGTCGCTTCCATTTTAGAAATACCGATGACGTGCCGAAAAACACTTCGCTTAAGGTTAATGACGTTAGAACTTTAAACTTGAACGCTCTTTTGCGCCAAAATGAAATGTGATGTCGTTGTGGCATGCGCGTTGAAGTTCAAGTCGCTTAAAATAAAGACAGCATTCGGATAAACATTGCCACTGAAAATCTATAATTCATGTCACGTATACCATAGATTTTTACCGCTGACAGTATATTGGTCAATTTGTTTACAGGAAATCGACCAATCATAGATCGGTATTCATAGTCAGTTCTTTTTGGCTAAACTGGTTATACTAATTCACAGTTTATCTTTCTTTCTTATACTAGAAGAAGAAAGATAAACTCTGAAGTAGTGCAGTCAGTTTCAGTTAAAAAGAACAAACCTTTATATTTAAGATTGCTTAAATAAGCTCACACAGCTATCCTAGGCTCGATTGCACCAATGTTATTTTGAATTTTAAATGATATTTAATATATAATATGTGTCACGTATATTATGTATTAAGTCTCGCTTAAAGCCCAAATAATATTGGTGCAACCGAGTCTTAGTCCCGGTCTACAATAGATGATTTAAGTCTTAAATCATAAGACCAATCATAGTTGATTATTCTCTTATTCTTCGACTATGATTCGTTCATTTCTTATGGCTTAAGACTTAAATCTATTGTAGATCAATTTATTGATTGAAATGTCATCTTAAGACGATTTTAAATATAAGAACTGATTATGAGCACCGGCCATAGTCAAACATTCTCACCATACGACTTGACTGTGATTTGTTTATGGTTATGATTATGATTAAAATTTTTGTATAAGCATCTTTTTTTTTTACGTTTTAATCGGACTTAAATTACAAAGAATGTCATATTAGCACAATATACATACATTTACATATTTCATAGTTCACGTAGATTTAGTGGCGCACCACTTTTATTTAGACCAAACAAAATTTAACGCAATAGATACATACGTATATGTATGTACTTGCTATAAAAATTTGTGAGAATAAAGAAATGAATATATACTTATAATAGGGCACTATTCTTCTATTCATTATCGAATTTCCGAATATTAACAAATGCGGATGATTGTCATGTGGAAATTAGATTCATAATCCATTCTTACATTTAAAATCACGTTGAGTAAGCTTATGTGCATACCTTATTGGTTGAAATGTAATCTTAATTTAAGGTAACCTTAAATATAAGAATTTACTACGAATACCGCTCGAAATGTCCATTAGCACTCAGAGAATAATACAACCAATATGGCTGCCTAAAGCCATTTGCGCATATCTCTCTCCCCCCTCTCCCTCCTCGAACTTCTTGATTAACGTCATATTCCCGCGAATCGTAGCCAATCAAGTTTATTTTTTAGTTCGTGGTGCTGATATGTAAATTAATGAGAGCGCGATCGTGCGCACTCCTTGTGCATCCGATCGGCGCCGCTGTCGCAGGGAATTGAGGGAATGGCGATGGAAGCTACGTTCTACAAGCGGCGTAATTCTCTCTTGTCCAACGCATCCCTGAGCGCGATCTTCTTCGACTTGGACAATACTCTCGTGGAAACCCGAAGGGCGGACAGTCAGACTTGTCGCAAGGTACGAAAGGGACTCACGTCATGAATTTAGTGACAATTCTCTTATCCCCCCTCCCCTTTCCCTTCCCTTGATCACCCGGATCTGACCCCGTGATTTGTCCCCGTTTTTCGAAAAGCAGGATCGTGTCGCCGATCGAGAGGTCACGCGAGCGTATCTGCATGCCGCTACTCGCGATTAGCAACCAGCGAGCACTCTCCCACGACGTTCGCTCACTCTCACATCGCAAGAATAGAAATCTCTGTCGTTCCCCCCCTCCCCTTCCCCCCTTCCACATCCTACGTGTAATATGAGCCGACTCCCCGATATAGAGCTTTCTTTGCGGCGCGCGATGGCTATTCTCGGCGACGCATCTCCGCGTTTTCTCGTACGGATTCCCGCGATGGAACTGAGCATACCTCTGGGATTTTAGCGACTTCGTCTCGTTGCGCTTCCCGCGTTGCCGCATTTTTCTCCCGCAATGCGAGAACCCGTCCCGCCGTAGGCGCGGAAAAGTGCAAGAGAGTGCAGCTAACGGTGCGGACGGACGGACGGACGGACGTTGGCGACTCGTCGAACTCTGGAATGCGGCGCGAAGTCCGCGCGGAAGTCGAGAAGTCGCGAGGCGAATCGATATGTAGTCCCCACGTCAGAGATTCGAGGAAAGTATTGTTTTCTAATCAACAAATTTTTTTGTCATAACGACGAGAGATTCGTTCGCAAGACGAATGATATCTCGTTGCCGCTACGCGTCGTAGATGAGAGTAATCGATGTTATTATTGAACATGTTTAATGTTATTTTTCCGACATTTTTGATGAGGGATAATTGCGAGGTTGTCCGCGTCAATACGGAATTCCCCGATACGACGCTTCAAAGAGATACTTTTGACGAGCAGCTGCGAGAGTGGTAGACAGCCGCACGTGTTCCGCGTGCGTACGCGTCCGGTGGTTATTTTTGGCCATCGCGGTGAGTGTGTCAAAGGGCAAGGCTAGGTAGCGAGAGAACTTCGTTCTGGGAGCTCTGCCAGTTGGCTCTCGACTATGATACGTGACGGGCGGTGCTACAGCCGGTCCGACGCCTCCTAAAATTACACGATTTCGGAAATCCCATAACGTCGTTGGAACGTCGACGACACCGATACTGGGATAGCGATATCAAACATATATCGCTTTGTCGGTCTTCAACTTTGAGAGAAGCTCACGTTTTATATATATATATATATATTTTTTTTTCTTTTCTCTTGGTACGATCAAGCACTATGAGTATACCGGAGGGAGTTGCAAAGTGCGTGGCCATACTAAAAGCGGTGGATACGGATTCGGAAAAGTTTGCCGCGCTGTTCATGGTTACCAAGCTGGTGAACGGCAAGGATTGCGATGCCGCCGCCAAGAAGATGCTCTTCGAGGCCATCGGAGCTAAGTTCCTCAAAAAATTGCTCGCCAGCACAACCGTCCCTGTAGACTGTCCACCACAGGTGTATAAATCGGTAGCGTTATCCATTCTCTCCGCGTTCTGCAGAGAACCCGAGTTGGCCTCTCATCCAGATATGGTCGGACATATTCCGGCGCTCTTGGAAATAGTGTCTCAAGCTGATGAGGATGCACCGGATGATATGCTGATTATCGTTAGCGAGGCTTACACCTGCCTGCAATGTATTGCGCAACATCCTCCTGGGCAGAGAGCATTGCTCGAGCAAAAAGCGATTCCGAAGATGTGCGATATTTACGCGGAAAAGAGCTTTCAGACGGATGAAGCTTTGAACATCTTAGTCACGTTAGTCAACACGTTTGGACCAGAGGCTTGGAATCTAACAGACACCGCGCCTTTCCACGCGATAATCAATAAGATAGCCTTAGATTTCGAAACAGATCATACGGAGAGAAAATTCGAGCTATGTACTATCCTGCAGGCTCTGCTACAATCCTGCAGAAAGGACGTGATAACCACAAACGCGAAGGAAGAATCTTGGCCGTTGAGCATTCATAAGGGTTTGAACGATATCTTGGGATCAAAAATAGGCAAGAAGCAGCGCGATCCAGCTTTGAAACTTGCGTCCGTGATGATCGATCTGTTGGGAGCGGATTGGGCCATGTCTGATAAAGAAAAACCAAAGATATTCTTTCTTTTGCTTATTCAGCTGGCGTCGATTGAGGTCAGGATGCAATTGGAGGACAAACAGCTCAAAGCTGTGCTTGAGAATGCTGATTTGATCACGGCTTGCTTCATTATTCTCGAAATCTCGATCGGCTACATCGTTACAGATCAACTTGATTTAGAGCAGAAGGAAAAGCAGTCTCTATACACAGCTCTAAAGGGCGCTTTTGCGGCTATTATCGGTCTGCTGAGCTCTGTATCGAAGATGAAAGCATTGACGAACGTGAAAGAGAAAATGTTCGTATGCGCCGTGGTTAGAGTCCTCACAGCTTGGATGGCACAAGAAACGAGCGCGATGCGTCCTCAAGTTTACGCCGTGTTGCCGTATGTATTGACGGTGGCTAACGATACCTTTTACGCATATCGAAACAGGAGACTAGCTGAAAAAGCCAAATGTAAAACTAAAGCGGACGAGGGACCATCGTCCGGAGAACCGATCGTTCACGAACCGATAAGCGAGACGGACATATTGAGATTACTGCTGCCCGCCTTATGCTATTTAGCTGTGGAAGAGCCCGCTAGGAAGATTCTCCTTCAACACAAGCAGGATGAAATTTTGTTCGAGTGTCTGTCCTATCATTGGACCATCGTGCACTATAAGAAGCCACCGGTACCGAGATCGGAGCGTCTGAAGCTTCTGCAAGATGGCAATCGCACGGAGGAGTTGGATACGCAGCTTTTGGAAGAGATGAAAGACTCCAGAACTGCGATGGTATCCATCTGCAACGTCTTGATGAACATTACCGTATTGGAAGCGAAACTGGTGGAGGAATCGCCTACATTCATCTCGCTGCTAAAATTTATTTACAATAATTTACCGGAGCTAAAGCAGATCCCGGAAAATCTGGTACTGCACGGTCATCTAGCGGTCTTAGGTCTGCTGCTAATGAAGCAACAAGCAAAACGCATCAAGAAGAACGACTTCTCGATATGCCGTTACATTCAAGCGACTATAAGATTCTTGTGGGATGCGTACATCATCGATGAGAGTAACGATCCTACCGAGCTGGTAGTCTCCATGTCTTACAAAGAACATTGGATGGAACTGATGGAGCTTTGGTTTTTGGGTATGCAAACGATGGCCGGTGTGCTACAAGTGATACCCTGGTTATCGCAATTCACAATAGAATCCGGCTGGGCGGAGGAAATCATAGAGACGTTGAAACGAGTAAAGATCGGTGGTTTGGAGCCGAACGTCAAGTCTGCCTTTGAAGACCTGCTGTGCCACTTGGTGAAGGCCGATGATAACGTCGCGTCGGTTTTGAAAAATGCGGCGCGTTAACCGTCTGTCGAAATCATCGTATGATGGAGCTCGGAAAGCGTCTCTTCGGGGATTAAGATTGAACATTGAGAATATTAAGAACTGTATAGCTTCTGGATTTTTTTGTATTACGCACGAGCGATGTAAAGAAATTATTCAAAATTGTAAAAATAGCAAAAGGTTAATTAAGGCGAGCAACTAATCGAAACTTTGTACAAAGAGCAGTTTTGTAAAGTAGCTTCTTTAGTATTTTGCGATTTAGATAGATTTATTATTTTACACGTCTCTTGGATATGATATTCGAAATGCGTATGTGCGCATAGTCCAGTGTATATTTAGACGGCATCACGTCTGGAAATAGTTTTCTGGCAAGCAAGAAAGTTAAGAAACGAATCGCTCGAAGAAACACACTTCGTAAATTACGGAGGTACATTACTCGTTCTTACATGAAGCTTTGATACGTATGTTCATTTATCAGCTATTATCGAGTGTGCTTCTATCACTTCGCTATTGCGGAAGCGGAGATTGTTGTATCGATGTTATTATGATCTTAAGATGCTTTGATGAAAATTTTGTAATGACAGAAAAATGCTTTCTTATTAAACGGAAGAATTTTGTAAACGTTCGCTTGATTTCATCACCATCATCCACTTTATCACTTTATGTGCCTAACATTCTTAATAAAATTATTTTTAACAAAGATATATGTTAAAGAAAGATTACTGGATAGAAAGAATTAATTTTGCGTAACTAACAGCAAGCTACATATGTATCACGCTCTTCTTCCAAGGATGAAGTTTTAATATCCAGAAATCTTTCAACTTATAGGGTTTGAAAATAACAAATGATGTTGTTGTTGTTGGCACAACTCATTTTGTTGTGATTACAGCAACGTCCGCGGGTGCCACTTCGAGTGTCCACTAATCGGCTCGAGTATTTCAATGAATCAATGCATTTTCTAGGTAATCATTAATAATGAATTAAGTGTCCTAAAGAATCCTTAACTGACCGCTATATCCTGTCGTCCTAACACCTTTGTTGATTAATGAATTCCGCATTCAATATTTATCTTTTCTCATTTCATTTTATATCTTGTTTATTAAAAGAAATAATTTTGTTAATTCTAATATCTTCTTTAACGAGAAAAAACTTTGCAATACAAGCAAAGTGATCATCCACAATTTATGCCTAGTTTTATTGAGTGTGGAAATCGTTTTCATCATTTCTTCTTTCATTTTCAGTTTTTCACTCATCATCATTCTTTCATCACAAAATATATAATTATAATGAAAAAGAGCTGACGATTTTTATTGTACGTTTACCTACAGTTGACTGAGGAATTGACACGAGAGTATGGCATCCCGGAAGATGCATCTGCCAAGATAACGACCACATATCTGAAGCAATTTAGAAAATGTCCGGACAACGCGACTCTCACATTGGATGCTTGGCGAACCATCCTTTGGAGCAAAGCGCTAGGTCACAAGTATTCGCATCTAGCAAAAAAGATTTACGAAAGATGGCTCTATTTAAGATATCACTACATGATGTTGGCGCCGAGCACAGTTTCCATGCTGCGTCAATTCAGGAAGAAATATTTGCTGGGTCTAATTACCAATGGTCCATCGAACGCCCAGTGGGAGAAGATACACAAACTGTCGTTGGAGCAATACTTCGATGTTATCCTGGTATCTGGTGATTTGTTGTGGGAAAAGCCAGAAGCAGAAATATTTCAAAAGGCTTGCCATATTCTTAATGTGAGACCCGAAGAGTGCATCATGGTTGGCGATAAATTGGAGACCGATATTTTAGGTAGCGAAATTTATCTCATTTCATAACTATTTAGAAATCATATACAAATTCTAAAAATATTAGATTATAACATGAGTGAATTGTAAAATTGTCATAGGTGGGATCGAGGCTGGATTGTATGGAACAGTATGGATACCTACTACAGATAAACCTCGTCTCTCGGAAGACGATCCCAAGCCAGATTTTACAATAAGACATGTAACGGAACTTCTCCGCATATTGGAAAGAGGTCCAAACGCGCCAGAACTCGAAGACTGTTCTTCAAACGGATCCGACGGCAGTTAATGAGGAGACATCGTATTATTTATTTTTTTTTCTAATGCCATGAAAACCGATTCGATGCTTATAAGCATTTGTTTTATTAAGCAAGATTTATTAGATTTTTGTTGTATGTGTTAGTATTGTTTTTTTTTTCTATCATATATGTTTCACATATATGGTAGCACTCGGTTGTAGGTATTTTGATATATTTACAATATGTTAGAAACCGTTTAATCTTTTTTCTCTCTCTCTCTCTCTCTTCTTTCTTTTTTTTAAGTTTTTATTAATTTTTACTTACTAATCCTATACTGTGATTCTTTACTAAAATTTTTAGTGGAATACGTCCATCGAATATATATATATATATATATATATATAATATATATATATATATATATATTTTATTATAATATAATATATATATATATATATATATATATAGAATTAGATATATATAGAAATATGGGAATTATATGTTGATATAATATATGATATAATATATGATTATTTGCAGATTCAGCTAGTACATTAAGCTTACCTGAAAGAATTACTCCTTATCTTAAGAAAACATTAAATAAAAAAAAAATGGTCAGTATATACATTTTTTTCTTATTTAATTTCTTTATGTTTAATATATATATTATTAAGATAGTAATTATCAATAATCTTTTACATCTTTATCATTTATTATATTTTTTCAGGGACGAACATACGTACAAAATTACCTTATAAAGAAAGAAATGCGCGGCGATATTTAAAATTTACACAAGCATCAATCTCAGCGACAAAAGTTAAAAAATTTGCAAGTACAAATAACATAAATGATAATACAGAAAAAGAAAACTCACGTTTATTTACAAGAAAAAGTTTTTTACTGCCACCTAATACTATAAAAGAATTGCATATTAAAAATAAATCTAAGCGAAGCAAGTCTGTGTTGCCCCAGTTCTGTAGACCGACAGTGAATTCTGATAATATAAATTTTAAAATATCTGAAGTACCAGAAAGCTCACCAGTGGCAGAAAATACAAATACATTGGTTAATTCTGTCATACATGTGAAAGAAAACGAAATATTTCTACAAAATATATCATCTCAAAAGTTTAGTGAACAGTCAGGCATTAACATTTTGCATTCTTCTCACTCAGATCTTGCGGATACGAGCAACAATATAGTGGAAGAAATTCCAAAGAATTTAAATTCCAATATTTCAAATACTGTTAAGTGCAAAGATCAAAATAATACTAATGAGGAAGAATATGTAACAATTAGTAAAATACAATTCACAGATTTGATATCTGAATTACAACATAAAATTTGTAAATTGGAAGAAGAGATATCCAATTTGAAGTCAACACTAAACGATTTTATGAAAATATCTGGAATAAATGTAATGAATAAAGACAAGAAAAAAAGTGAAATTAAACAAGAAATTAAAAATTTAAGCAATAATACAGAAACGATGGATAATATGGACACTAAATTGCGATACATAATGATCAATGATATTGATGCAGAACACAATAACGTTTTGAAAGAATCTTGTAAAATGCCTGACATTAACGTATCAACATGTGTAGAAACAAATACAGAAAATAATTCGGAGATACAATCGTTATATCACACACATATTGCCTTTGAAAATAGTAAAAAAATAAAGAAATGAATACTCCCATAAGTAAAAAACAACATAAAGATCCTAAATCGGAAACGAAAAGACGGTCTGCACGCTTGAGAGCAAAAGTTTTGAACAATTTAAATACTGCAAATGATAGCTTTGTGAATTTAGAAAACGAATTGCAAATCGTTAATATGGAATCTAATACAACAATTACACCATTTAATAATACTCCTGCAAAGAATAAATACAAAAATCAGAACCTAGGGAGACCTCTAAAGGAATATATGGCCCTGAAATCACGCATGAGTTGTTTGTTGACGCCTAATGTCAAGCAACTTAATTCTTCAGAATCGAAAAATAAGACTCGTAAAACTGATGATAGAAAAGCTTCCGTATCAGATAAATTACTCGCGGAATTGTATAATTTATATGGAGATTAGATATGTCATAATTTTTATGTAATTTATTTGATGAATGTAAATGCGTTTTAATTATAACTTGTTCTCTCTGATTTTTGATATATTTTTATTAAAATAAAATATTTTATGCAAAAACTCGCAATGTAACTACGTGATGCTGTTATAACAGTTTTCCTTTATATATTTTAAAACCAGAGAGAAGTTTGAAAATTTGAAAGTCCGCATTTTTATTGAACCCATTTACCAGTGCCTCTATGTGCTGTCATGTTCACTAAATCTGTAACTACGATCAGAGAAAATCCTGAGAGTGGCCATCTTGACATTTTTCGTAACACCGTCGAAATCACTGTACACTATCGCCACCAACGTCTATACTCACAGTATAGAGACACTACATCAGACTGGCCACAACTCTGATTCGTCAATCAGAGACTGGCCACGACTCTGATCCGCCATGTTTTGGCTAAATCCTACGAGAGAGAAAGAAATATACACCATCTCGCTCTAAGGCCGGCTGCACACAGGACGCGACAACTTCGTTACGTATAACTTCGTTAGTGTCGGTCCACAATAAGTGATTTAAGCTTTAAGACTTACATATTAGTGTCGGTCCACAATAAGTATTTAATCTTTAAACCGTAAGAAATTGATCAATCATAATCGATTATTCTTTTCATATTCGATTATAATTGGTCAATTTCTTACTTCTTAAAGCTTAAATCATCTATTGTGGACCGACACTTAGGAAATAAGACGGTGATTGACTATCGCGTTACCACGTTGTCGCTTTGACGCGTCCTGTGCAGCCGGCCTTACTTCTCTATTGTAGACGACGTTTTAAGACGATCTTAAATATAAGAACGGAATATGAATATCGTTCTGTATATCTCATCGCTTTCAAAAAAGAAAGTGAAATCCGTGTCCATATAAAGGAAATCAGATTATATATTTACCTTCCCTTTTCTAGATCCATCAATACAAAAGTTCAAAGAAATTTTGCTGCGTATTCTGTCCTATATGTTGATTGGCTGCAGGAAAGAAGACCATATTGCGTTCATTGCTTACATCATGCACCCACATATTTCTAACCATTCTATTCAGAATACTATTGAGATTACGTACATTGATTGGAATCGGTTCTAATAAGTCATTGCTAACACAAGAATAATTCAGAAACCATTAAAATATTATGGACGACGAGTTAGAAGATCGAATTTTATATCAGGTGAAGAAATGATATGTAAAATAAGTTTTAAACCGCCAAATTATATCCAATATTGGATAAAAATTAAAGTTATAGCAAATATCTTAATTCAATTCGAATGTTATACATTAATGCATACACAAGAGATGAACAAAATCATGTGAACAATTGTAAAAGATATTTTTTCTATTAATAAGAGCTTGGACCAACCATCTATCCTTAATCCAACTTCTGTTCTTAGAATGAATTCACGTAAATCTTAAATGATCTTTACTAAAACGTACTATTTATTCATCAAAATATATTCCAATTGTTGCAAAAATGTTGGAAGTAAAAAAACTTGCTTTTTGTTCTAACCCTCAAAATTGCACAACATAATAACTTGATGAGATTTAAGCTGGTTATAGAGAGTGTTAAACTTTATTTTCATATTCCTTAAGATTGAATCTTCTAGCTGTGCATAGTAGTTTAGATTATCACAGATTATTCATTATATTTCACACTTGAACTTAAATATGTAGAATTATAGATTTTTTGTAATGTTCTTTATATATATATATATATATATATATATATATATATACT